GGGGGGGGTGTTTGCATTGGTGATTGAAAGCTCAAACAGGTATATATTATCGATGTAATGGCATGAACTTTCTTCCAAACAAAACAGATGAACTAAGTATCGATAAAGCTCATCCATCCAGGTTCAGTCATTTTCTTCCCAGAATCCTGCCAACCCAGCTCCTCTCTGGATGTATCAATGGAAGGTGTGGGGACTTCATTCTTAGTATGTATGCTAGCTGCTCTCTGAGAAGCTTGCGTACGAGCTGATGACCTTCTGCCCCATGATGCATTGATGCCCCCCTCATGTAAGAAAGGTGATAGAGAGTACGTGATGCTCTTTAATTTGAACCAACTTTTCCCTCCCCTTCAAATCCCCATGCATGCATGTCCATGTCATGCCTTTCCTGAATGCTATTCATCCTACTTGCAGTGGTCTATCCATCATGCATGCACGATATAGTGATATACCCATACCATACACACCATAACATAACAATGATAAATGGAGATGAGGATGATGACATCAGATGTTGATGTTAATGAAAACCCATCCAGGCCCAACAGCACATTAAATACATATACATCCATACAATACTGTACCCTTCCTTTGTACATCTGTACCATCCCTTGAAGAAGCCGGCACCATAATTTGGGACACAGGTGAAAGAACCCAGCAGCAGCAGCAGCAGAAGCCCATGATTTTGATCCGGCCGTTTATGGATGTGGGCCCCCACGAGAACGACAAACATCCGACCAGGTTCGCTTGGACTAAACTTCAAAGTAGTAACCAAACGTGGGCTTATCTACCTCTTTTTTAAACTATATAAACAAATCCTCCTCCACAATCAACACTATTATTTCGGTTGGGAGGAAATGATTAGACTTTACCTAATAATTAATAGAATCATCAAGACAAGCCCCATCATGTTCATGTGCTTCTTCATCATTCCCAATTATTTCCTGTTTAAATCCCCTCCCCCCCCTAATCTAACCAAACATACCTTCCAGGAAACTGCCAACGCCTTCCCGTTACGCCATTATCCTCCTCCACCTCCCCCCCCCCCCCAGAATTGACCATACTACCCCTTCACTATCTCCGTACGACGCACGTGCAGGCATACCTCTTGCATCGATTCACATGATCACCAGCTCAGCCCGTCACATGGGCCAGAGCGTGGGTCCCACACCCCCCCACCAGGCGTACGAATATTCGCAAACAATCAAGGTGGGTCGGGAGGGAGGGATGTAGATTGCGTCCGCACGTGTAGGCGACACCAACACGAATAAACTACTATTTTCTCTCGGTATCCCCGCATGTGCACGTGAGGTTGGGAGAAGATACCGTAATCGACGGTCCTAACGCAATAGGATGTCCATCGGACGGAGAGGAGGGGGTCGTACAGATGTGCGGACACGTAAGCCGATGCTGGGTCGTGGGATTGTGTTCACCGACTCCACCGGAAAAGAAGGCGAGAAGAAGCAGCGAATACCGAAAAATAAAAATTATAGAGGAGCAGCAAATGATTTTAGATGTTTAGTGCGTCTGACCGTTGACCAGATCCCGCAAAAAACAAAGTAACTTTGACTGCATACGCACGTGCGGATACCGAGGCCACACGTTCGCCTCGCTGTCGTGGGTATTGTCTAACCCGGTACTCCACGTAGGATCCACATGACTGGATAATGAATGATACAAGCGCAAGTGGACGGGCGATCCGAAATTACGAAAAGAGCCCTCAGTTGCTGTGGCCCTGTGGATGTGACCCTTCGGAGCAGTTTATAAATGGGTCTGATCATTGATTTAGATCCCTTGAACAGAGACACTCCTGTCCTGGCTGGGGCCTGGGAGAGAGGGATAGGAACAGTGACGCAAATGAGACACTGACCTTCTTGGAATTCTGATCCAATGGTTGACGCATTCCTCGATCTGTCCAGGTTGTAAAGGGGTGCCCATCCCTTGGAGATGTCTCCTCTGAATGAATCGTCATTATTGAGTGGGCCGTGAAGAAGAATGCGACCCGGGTGGGCCAGCAGTGGAGATTTGAAATCCATTAACAAATGATTGCCAAGAGGAAGAAAAGGGGCAGTTAGGTAAATGTAGTTAAAACATGCAGTTGAAGATAGGGAGCGGCGGGGCCATGGGTCACGTGGCAATCACATGGGATATGAGTGTAGAGGGGGTGGGAAGTGGGAAGTGGGGGAGGAGGCCATGATAGGAGTTGTCGGATAGCGAGCGGATCCATAATTGGAGGGGGAACACGTGGGACAGCTAGCACGCTCCTGTGGGGACACTTAAATCATCAGCCGACAGCTTGCCGGATTTATATCATAAATCTCATCCCAACTTGGATATTATCTTTCTAATCTTTATCCTGTCTATGCATTTGGACGAAACTACCCCCGCTTAGTGCTTACTTACCCTTGAGCAGCCCTAGTTTGTTTAGGATGAAATGAAATGAAATGCCAGCCCATAATTGTGTCTCTTCACTCCTGCAATTATTAAAGAAAAAGCATGTAATCATAAACATAAAAGGCTTTTCAAGAAAAATAATAATAATAACGGAGTTTAAAAATAAGAAGAAAATCATGTACAAAGTACAATGATGAATGATCAAGAGATCTATTTGAATTGGAGAGAGAGAGAGGGAGGGGGCTTTAATGTAATTTTGAGAAGGGGAACCGGTTGCTTGAACACCCAGGGGAGAGAGAGAGAGAAGGAACAGGCGAGCGGGGATGATGAGAAGGGGAAGGGAGTCCAATGATTGTGAGCAATGCGTGTCGGGGCATGGAGGAACAAGGTGGCACGCACGGCTGGTGGTTGTGGGTTCCACATGTCACTTCTCTCGATGTGGTGCGGGCACGTGTCCTAGCAGGACATGTTGGTCCACGTGACTTCACCCAGGTTTTCTTCACTTCCCCTCCCTCATTCCCCACGTGACCCCCACTCTCCCTTGTCCCCTCCTCCCCCCACTTTCCGGACCCCACTTCCTCCCCTGACCCCACCTCTTAAGTCTTTTCTCTCTCCAAAACGAACCAGCTGAGAAATCATAGGACGCATCCACCCTATCATATTACGCTGCGACAACATTTCACAGACTTCTGAACATCAAGTTTTCGATGTGCAGTTGCCATCGTAGCCGTCCAGTCAACGTATGATGGTTGCCAAGTCAGAGATCCCATCCGTCCACTTTATAAAAGGAACTAAACAAAACATCATATATAGAGATCATGAACCACACTTTTATAACAGCCATCAACCTTTTTAGTTGAGAGGATTTCAGTCACATCCATCTTTAATGTTGGGAGCACTGAGAAGTGAGAACCATCCATCCACCAAAATTATATCCCAAATCCAAGAATCAAATCATTGGATGAATTTTAATCCTGTTCCTGTTTGTACAGGAACCACTCATGGGGATGGGGGCGTTGCTTTTGGCTTTTGCCCTATTTTTGGATTGACAAGGTTGTCCATGAGTTTTCAATAAAATGCCAATTTTCGCCAGGTATTAATATCGTACCTTTTGATGTCACTCACACTCTCATCATTTTAATGTAATGACCTTGGGAAGGCCACATATCACTTGCCATTCAAGGTCTCTTCAACCACCGGAAGGAGAAAAAAGGGGAGGGCATTTTGGGGAAGAAAAGAAGTCAAATATGAAAGCATTGAAAACTTTTCCGTCCTACTTTGCGGTTTCCCGAAACTTTAAATGCGGAACTCGTCTTTCTTGTTTCTTCAGCGTAACTGACGAACCGGCCCAACAAACTCGGTTCAATTTATCGGGAAAAAAATATTGGGAAAGAAAACAAAATATCGTGTGACAGTCAACGGTCAATAGGAAAAACAAAAGCCCCCGGTTAAGAGGAGGCGAGGAGCTGCTGCTGCTGCTGATCTGAATATCTGATCCGATGAGAGAAGTAAAAGAGAGAGGAAGAAAAGTGACGAAACCGTGGTGGTTAAAAAAACCGTGGTTGGGTTAAAACTGGGGAAGAAGTTTAACCAGGGTTAAGTTAGGCGAGGAAGTCATGATTGAGATAATTGGCGCTCTGACACAAGTCATGATTGAACAACACTTCTATATAAAGCCCCATTCTCCCACACTGTACTGAAAAAAGCTGAAAGCCTTCGGAAATCGCCATTGTTTCCTCTTACCTCTCTCCCTCTCTCTCTCTCTGTGATTTCTCATCAAACCCTAAAAAGGCGAGTATCCTAACCCTAGGAGAGTGTTGTCGAATCGATTTGAAGCAATAAGCAAAAGAAGGAGAAAGATCGCAGTAGATCAACCGATCGGGAAGGTGAAGGTAGAGTAATCAAGATGATGGTTGAGAAGGAGGATTTAGGCCTGAGTCTGAGTCTGAGTACTGCAGACAACCGACACTCGTTGCAGTTGAATCTCATGCCTTCTTCGATTTCGTCTTCGGCTGCTTCGCCATTCATGGATCAGAAGAATACTTGGAATGAGGCGTTCGCATCGTCAGGTATGTTGAGATTTGATTCAAGTTAGGATTCTTGTTAGTTTTCGCGAATTTTTTATCCGTTCCTAGATCTGGTGGAGAACCTGTGTTCTTTCTCCTTTTTTCTTTAACGCTTTTCACGGATCTTTCTGTTAGAACTACGATTTTTTTTCCTCTATACCTTTTCTTTTCCTATTTTGGTGTTCCATGTGGTTCTCTTCTCTATACGAAAGTTTTTGTTGATTTTTGAACGATCTGATAATAAACGCTCTTTATCTCTAAGATCTCCACAAAGAATCGTTTTTGTCAATCAATTCCTGTCTTCATGTTGGCCTTCTCTTATATTCAGCCTAACGTTGTAGGTCCATTATCTTCGTTTTAATAATCTCTCTATCTTCTATTTTTTTATTGCAGATCGAAACTCGGACTTGTTCAAAGGCGAGACGAGATCATTCCTCAGGGGAATAGATGTAAACCGCATGCCATCAACGGCGGACTGTGAAGAAGAAGCAGGAGCTTCATCTCCAAACAGCACAATATCAACCGTAAGTGGGAAGAGAAGCGAGAGAGACACAAATGGAGAAGAACACGAGATTGAGAGAGCCTGCTCTCGTGGAATCAGTGACGAAGAGGAGGGTGACACGTCTCGGAAGAAGCTCAGACTGTCCAAAGATCAGTCTGCCGTGCTGGAAGAAAGCTTCAAAGAACACAACACTCTCAACCCCGTAAGTATCACGTTTATTACAAATATGACAATCTAGTCGTCGTTTATTTTTATTCTCCTTCCTCTCTGAAGTTCCCAACACTAATCTTGATTTGGCGCTTTTTTGTATTGAACAGAAGCAAAAGCTGGCGTTGGCGAAACAATTGAACCTGCGACCCAGACAAGTGGAGGTATGGTTCCAGAACAGGAGGGCAAGGACCAAGCTGAAGCAGACAGAGGTGGACTGCGAGTTCTTGAAGAGATGCTGCGAGAACTTAACGGAGGAGAACAGGAGATTACAGAAGGAGGTGCAGGAGCTGAGGGCACTGAAGCTGTCCCCGCAGTTCTACATGCACATGACCCCTCCGACCACCCTCACCATGTGTCCCTCATGCGAGCGCGTGGCGGTCTCCTCGTCCTCATCCACCGCCTCGACCGTCACAGCAACACCCGCAGTCGATGCTCACCACCACCATCCCCCCATGGCTGCTGGTCCTCACCACCATCGTCCCATCCCCATCAACCCTTGGGCAGCCGCCCCAATCCATCACAGGCCATTCGATGCCGCAGCCCCAAGATCGTAAATATCTATTTACTTCAGGGGCAATCTGGTCATATTAAGCCCATGTCAAGGGCCCTTTTTGTGAATTAATGATTCCTCAGATGAGATCTATCATGGGGAGGATTTGTACGGAAGAGGATGAAGCATATTTTTATTAGCGTACTCCCTCTCTGTCTCTCTAAAAAGTCTTGTTGCGAAGGATTAGGCGAGGAGGGGAAGGTCGTTTATGAGTTACGACCGTTTAAATTGTATGGTTGTCGTAGAGGGGTGGTTTGTCGCTTCTTTTTTTAATCTTTTCTTTTGGGTTAGTTTTTGGTGGTTCTTCTTCTTCTTTCTCTGGCTTTTTAAGAGAGGGATTGAACTTTGAAGAGACAAAGACCTTTTTTCTTCTTCTTCGTTGGGAGTAAAAAGAGGAAGGATAATAGAAGTTGAGGGTCGGGCTTTCGGAGATATTATGATGTAAAGCTATTTCGTCTGATGATCTAATGTTGTTCTCTAATCATCTAATGAAAAAAAAACATGACCATGATTAGAATTATTTATTTTGTTTATTGTTGGAAGAATTTAGTGGGGACATAAATCGGATTCTATGGATGATTTAAATATAATTTAGTCCAATCGATGGATGTTGGTAGTAGTGGTGGACCCTGGACGGATGATCTCTCTCTTAGTCTTACATATGTATAATTATATGCTTAGACTCCAGCTGTTTGGTTAGGTTTGACTGATATTAAAGAATAATGATGGAGAATAGTAAATGCCAGATTGGGTGTTTACCAAGCGAGCACCCTCTCTCCCTCCCAGAGTCCCAGGCCAGTCCCAGGTTCTTAACTTATCGATCGTTTCTTTCAATATTTGAATCTGGACTTGGGTCTATCTAACGTCACATGATAAACATGTGCTGTTCAGGCTTTTCTGTTGGTGTCCAAACTCGGATTCTGATTCTATTATTAAGTATTATTGCTTTCCTCCACCCCCTCCGGCCTCTACTAATTTAATCCAATAATCAATATAGAATTATAGATACTTCATAATCTAAGTTTAAAAAACGATTACAGCATCCATAATCCATAACCGGTTACAGCATCTATATATATAATACATAGATTCAGAAAACAGGAAAGGTACTTCATCCATAATCTAAGTTTAAAACCCGGTTACAGCACAGACCAAGGTTTATAAGCATAAGAAACAACAGCGAATATTTCATACGAGCGTGTGGTCTCAACTCTCAACCTTGTGATTTATTCATTTTTCTTTATTTTATTATTATTATATTATTTTTACTTTTTTTTTTTTGGTTTGGATGGTCCAGAGCAGACCTAGCTAGCTAGTAAAAAGGAGCCAGGGGGCCAGCGAACCATGAACTCTTGATTTGTTTCAAAGAAGAAGAAAGCCTTCACGTGGGTGTGAGAGATGTCCAAGAACTAGATTGGGAACCAATCACGTGGGGAGGTGGCTCCCAAGTCCCCAACTGCCTGCATCATGCATGTGATCATCATACTCTCTTTTACTTCCCCCCTTCTCTATATCATAGGATTCTATTTCTAGGTCATCCCAACCTCCTTTATCTCCCTCTCCCTCCATAATAATATATAGTCCACAACCTTTTTTTTTAATTACCTTTTGGTTCCTCTTATTAGTGTCACTTCAAAAAGCCAAGAGGAAGATTCGGTGTCATCTTCCATCTTCCATCTTCCATCTCTTATGATAACCCCTGTTCATCCCCCCACCCCCCCTTCAATTTCCAATGCCTGTTTGATGCTTTTGCTGACCAAAAGAGGAAAAAAGAAGAAGAAATGAAGATAAAAAGTGTTGAAAATTTCCCACCGCCTATTATTACAAAAATAGAAGTTGGTGGAATGATTCCCATATACCCAAGTGTTGGTAGCCAGTCAACAAGGGAATTCCATTTCCACCACACCAAAGTGGGAAGTGGGAGGAGACTTACAATAAGCAGGCCTAACTGTTAAAAAAGCAAGCTTTTGAGTTCTTTAATGGCTGATGTGGATTTCCACCTGTGATATATTATGCCCAAGCAAATAATCCAGACCCACATGGAGTTGAGGATAAGCTTGAGATAATGAAATTTTTTGCTACAATTCAGTGCATCAAGGATTGATCCATCATTGTTCATCTTTATGGGTTGGGTTCAGTGAGTGCAATATATATAGGTGCAAAGCACCTACGTACTGATCAAAATTCAAAGAAAAAGACC